ACACACACACACACACACACACACACACACACACACACACACACACATATATATAATTTGTTCAGCTTTTCCTTGTTTATGGGTTTCCTCCTCCATCTCACTGTCCTCTGCATCCTCTGTCCTCACTCCAACTACCTCCATGTCCTCTCTAACTACATCCATATATCTCCTATTTGTATTTTTCCTGGCAGCTGCATTTCTAACATCCTTCTACCAATAAACCCACTGTCTGTCCTCTGGACATGTCCAAACTATATCAGTCTGGTCTCTCTAACTTTATCTCCCAGTTGTTCAACCTGTGCTGTACTTCTGATGATCTCTTTCCTAAACTTGTCCATCCTTGTCACTCCTAAGGAGAACCTCAACATCTTCATTTCTGCTACTTCCAGTTCTTTCTCCTGTCTTTTTCTCAGTGCCTCTTGTCTCCAGACCATACAATATAGCTGGTCTCACCACTGTCTTGTAAACTTTTCCTTTGACCTTTGCTGACACCCTTTTGTCACAAATCACTCCTGAAACTTTTCTCCATCCACTCCATCCTGCCTGGACTCTATTCTTCACCTCTTTACCACATTCCCCATTTTCCTGGACAGTGGACTCCAAGTACGTGAAGTCCTGCACCTTTGAGACCTCTGCTCCTTGTAGCCTCACTGTTCCACCGGACTACCTCACATTCACACACATGTACTCTGTCTTACCATGACTGACTTTCATTCCTCTCCTTACAAGTGCATTCCTCCACCTCTTCAAGTTCTCTTCCACCTGTTCTCTCTTCTCACCATGTCATGCTGTGCTGTGCTGCTTCTGAAGAGTAACTCTCAAACTTTTTATTTTCTAATTTCATAAAACAGTGATACAAACCAAAGTAAGTTAAAGATGAACATAAGGTCAACATCATCACTCAGAACTAGTTTTCATTCATTCATAACTGCGGTTGCCATCTCTTGGAACAGTTCTGATCCTTATACATAAACTGTACACTACAGAAATGTAATTTTAATTTCTGGAGATCATCTCTATACCCCCCCATGAACCAAAAAATGGGTCCTGGCCACAATATTGGGAACTACAGATTTAAGGAACCTATTTTACCTTCATCTAATTATGACTTTTGAGAATGGAGCCTAATTGTAAATGTACTATTAAGCTAAAATAATATATTTCAACATATCTTCATCATTTATTATTTATTTATTCGTTATTTGTTAACCTTTATTTAACCAGGCAAATCCCATTGAGATCACATATCTATTGTGCAAGGGAGGCCTGGGCCTGAAGGCATGTATGTATGTAACATGTATGTTTTTGATCTGTGGGAGGAAACCGGAGTACCCAGAGAAAACCCACGCAAGCACGAGAAGAACATGCAAACTCAACACAGAAAGACCCCAGGTCCAACCGGAGATTGAACCCAGGACCTTCTTGCTGTGAGGCAACAGTGCTAACCACTGAGTCATCGTGCTGCCAGCAAAAAGGACAAAGAGGTTTAATGAGGGTCTACACGCCAGACAAAGGAAGCAAACATTTACATTCACAGAAAAGGATAAGTAAAATTCTTCAGAAAAAAAACAACAAAATACACAAACATTCTTTAAATAAAAAAAATAAAAAAATAAAAAACTGGTTTAAGTGAAACCCTTGAAATAATGAGAAAAATAAGTACTTCAGTTTGCAAATACCTGTGTGTAAATCTACAGTATAATACGCAAACTCACATTACACCTCAGGTCTGATTCTGTAGCTTCAAGGAGCAAATATTTACGGCTTTACCAAGAAGTTAAACGCAGCACTCTTTGGGTCGCATACTCACAAAAAGAGAACGATTCCGGTGTTGGCCATGGCAAAAGCCAATCCCAGAATTCCACTGCCCATGATGGCGTTGCTGAGGTTAAAGATGGACATGCCAAATGAAGTCTTTCCCTCAAACTAGAACAAGAAGACAGGAGAAGATGGTGCTCACTTCATAGAGTAAAATTAGCTAGAACACCCTTTTTTATGTTCTTCACTCAACATCATTTAGATAAAAGACACCCACGTCTGTAAAGTGAACTTCTTTCTTTGCTCCTGGTTTATGAGGGAGACACTCTTCAAGTTCTGGAATGACTTCAACCCCATCAAACCTACAAGGAGATATGGAGTTTAATGAACCTCTTCAGGTAACATGATACGCTCTCAAGTCATCGCTCTTCTCGTGTTGTACCCTTCATCTCTGCTGTGGCCGTTTTTTTGAAGCTCCATTTTGTTCACCAGTGTTGATCTACTTTCGCTCGATGGAGAGACTCCTCTTTAAGACTTGAAATGACTGAAAATACAGAAAACAAACTTAAACTTGCAAACTTCAAATAGACAAAGAGACTGAAAAGTAGTCAAGCAGTCACCGTATGAAAACTGAAAGTCCTATTCTAAAAACGTTTGAACCGTGAGCTGCAGAAGACTGTGATTGTCACATGCGTGAATTTTTATGTCTATGGTGATTTAGAAAGTAATATCTCAAGCTCAAATGTAACTGAAGTGCACACAGCTTTGGTGTGTTCTCTGCACCCAGAGGCAATTTCAGAGAAAATTACAAGTGTTATGGTAGTTAGAGACAGACTGGGCGAAAGAAGACAAAATGTCTGTCCTGATGAATAATTTGTACATGTACTAAAACAGGTGAGGGAATAAGGAAAGACTGTTTGCAGATTTGAAAATTTTACACAGTTCAAGTGATACCATGAACTGTTATCAGTTTAACATAATGTGGTGAAATCAAAATTCATAAAAACTTAAATTATGATTGTGTAAAAAAACAATACAGAATGCCAGCTGAGACATGTAAAGTCACCTTTATACTTTAAGTGTGGTTTCTACTGTAACTTTTGTGTGAGCTGTAGATCTCCAAAGAGAGATGAGTTTCGGCCCTTGCTTCACCAAAATCTCATTGTTGTCTCTGAGACATTTCTCACAAATTTCTCTTTGACAATTTTGTCCATGTCCTACAATGTTCTGCTACAAAAAGAGAATTACTTTCATGCTTACTATATAAGTCACATGCTTTATTTTTCAAAGTTGTGGGGCGTAAAAACAAACTAAAATTGTGATGAAAACCAAATAGAATAGCAGTAATGGTGCTCCAATGCTTATGCAATATTAGATTTGGTTATAGGTGTATATTAACTTCATGTTTTCATGTACCATATTTTGTTTATTTTTTATGTCTTGTGACTGCTGTTATGACTTAATTATTGCTCTGAAGAGCAGTTTGGTTTTGTGTTTCTTTTAAGTGCTTTAAAAACAAAGCTGGTAGTAGGTATGAGATTATATGGCATGGCCTGGTATGGTATGGCATGGTCTGGGGTGATATGGTATGGGATGATATGGCATGGTATGGTATAGCATGTTATGGTATGGAATGATATGGCATGTATGGTATGGCATGGCATGGTCTGGGATGATATGGCATGTATGGTACGGTATGGCATGGTCTGGGGTGATATGGTATGGTATGAGATTATATGGCATGTTATGGTATGGGATGATATGGCATGTATGGTATAGCATGTTATGGTATTGTATGGCATGGCATGGTCTGGGATGATATGTGGCACTTTGCCACTGTCTCGACTCTCCTTGGCTCCGTAAGACACTGCACCAGTTAAGGGCCTCTCCACTGCCAGTACTCACCCCCACTCAGCCCAGTATATGGGACCACCTTGTTTGTGGTTTCTATCGGGCTGCTCCAAGTGGCAGATTTTGATGCAAGCAGACAGCAACCATTGATTCGCCAGTGGAGCTACGTCACTGAATGACCCGCCCAGCAAAACTGCAAAGTACATCTGAACCTCCACTTCCTCATCGTGTTCAATGACAGTGCCACATGAAATGAGTGAATTTACCGAGAAATATCGAAGACGATGGTGCAGCATGGCTACACCCGGACTTATACGCAGTGCCGAGATAAGCTAACAACATTCAAGTCAGCTTACAAGGCGATTAAGGACCACAACAGGCGGAGTGGTTCGAACACAGACAAAAATAAAAAAGACCATTTACGATCTTGTCCAGTTTGCATTGACAATCCGACCCACATAGTGGGGAAACAGGTTTGAACTGGGCTAGTCAACGACTGCAGTCTGCTTAAAGTGGTACGCTTGGAACTACAGATGAGGTGGTACCATAAACCGAGTAGGAACCAGCAATGGAGAAGGTATAGAATGGGATGGTATAGTCCGGTATGGAAGCACCATAAAAACAGAACAGTGTGATGTTTTGAACAATGTTTAAATATCCTTGGCTGCTTGAAGATAAATTTGTTGTACTTGAAAAGAACCCACAGCCTTCAAGAAACAATGGCACCAACATAAAATGCTTCTTGCATTTTAAAGACCTGTTTTTAAATGTCACTATAACCTTTTCTACTTGCTAAGATCAAGAAGATTTTTTTTTTAACTTTTATTTGAAAAAATGTACTTCCTAGTATAGACCCATTAACAAACTTCAGTTAACTACTTTGGGTTTTGTAAAAGTGAGCTTCTGCTTCGGGTTCAAAGCTTGTTCAACAGGATCAGCCTTTAAATGTTGTGAGAAGACTACGTTGCACTAATCTGAACATGCAAAGCTAGCATGAACACCGCTGAGAACGACCACCAAGGGTCATGGGAGACGTCCGCTCAACTTGGGTCAAGCTGCCCCCAGGATTTTCACATCTGACCTCTAAGGACACTCTTTAACTAGATTTAGCCTATCTTTAAGAATGTCTCATAAAACTGGAACACTGAGCAGATCTGTGTACGTGCGGTGATCCATCCATCCAACGTGGTGCTTGAAGACAGTGGGCAACAGTGAGAAACAAAGGGCTTCAGTGTGAATGGTTCCACTAAACACAGAGCAGATTTTCCTGATGTGATGGCCTCAGGTCTGGTTTGGTTAAAGTCACTCACTTTAGCAAAGTACACAACAACTTTTCCATGGCGCAAAGCCAACACAGCCAACAAAGCATTCCAGATGTCAGGCATACTTTGTAATTAAACATTCAGCATAAAAAAACTTTTTAATCTTTGAATCTACACATTTCACTATGAAGAACTTGTAAGCAAGGCTGGGTGGGGGGGTGAAAACTAGACAAACCTGGTTAACAAGGAACTTGAGAAGACTTACTAGCTACAAGGGCAGTTCTTACAAATTGGGAGAGAAATAAAGAGTATAAAATGAACAAGATGTATCTGTTATTTTTTATCCATTCCTACAACCAAGCTCATCCTTTCTGTGCCTTAAATCAACTAAAAGTGTTGCGATCAAACATACATGTTCATACTACACTAAATAACACATGTAACAAGATTTTCATTGAACATTTTTGAAGTAAAACCCAGTAGAAAAGCCTGTTTCTTACTATTTGACTGTGTGTCCCACATGGTTTTTGTCTGACGCAATACACCATGTCACTTAGCTTTTGTCTTCTTTTCCTCACAAACTCTAGGGATACAAGCATTTTATCAGCCACTTACCCTGGTGATCAAAAAGGTAGATTATTACTTTTTTGTAACAGAGTAAATCCTTGGGAAGAGTTTGCGTAATTTAAGAATCTGCCAATGTTTATATAGAGTCCAGTTCCTGGGAGTCTCTCCAAAGCTCCTTGGTAGTAGAGAGGAGAAGAGGAGTGAGATTACAAGCAGGGAAAAAGAGAGCGCAAGCAGGAAGTGGGAACACCCATACTTAACCCTTTGTTAAACCAAGCCCCAGGTAGTGGTAGAGAAGGAAGTGCTCCTCTCACCTGGTGTCTACACTGAAACAGCAATAATAAAAATGTAATGAATTACCCGTAGAGTTCAAAAACATTCTGTATGTCCACGTCTGCTGCTGAGACCCAAAACAGGCTTCTGGTGCTCATTCAAGACTGACAACAAGCCAACATGGACTATGCAAGCAGAATAAGTGGATGCCATCCCAGGTCGCTGGTTTGTGTCCTGCGGTCGTCATGGTGATGGTAATTAGCTTAAGAGATGGGAGCTTTTTCTGGATTGCTCGCATGTGATCAAACAGTCTCAGGTACGAAACCTGAACTGACTCATAACAAGAAGAATGACAAAGTCAAGGACAATGATTTTGAACGTTCCCACGCGCTTTTCTCTAAAGATCCACGATGGTCTTTGCTTTTTTAAAACAGACAGTCGGCAGCTTGTATAGAAATCGTAAGAGATTTGGAAATAGGATGCACACGGAATACACTCCACTGAGTTGCACAACAACAGAAACAACAAAGTGACTGGTGTGTTTGCGGGAAAATGCTGCCGAAGTCAGAGAGACAAAACTTTTCAGTTGGTTGATAAAGTTTAGCAGATATAAGCTCTGGCTGCCTGCACACCCAGGAGACACCCAGTCTTTATCTCACCCTGACACCAAGCTTTTCTCATTCAGTGGCTGTTTGTATCTGATGCAAGCGCCAACAATCAAATGACCTTTTCTTTCTTATATTCTTATCTTGTGGATTTATTTTGTTTCACATTTATGAGGAAATTTATAATACAAACATAAAACATAAAAGTTTGATGATTTTGAAAAGTTTTGGCTTTTTACAAATAATTGTGAATAACAAAATCAAATACTGAACCGATGGTGCCAATATTTATTAATCTAATAAAGGAATAAAAAGATACACGCATTATTACATTGTTTTTTACACTTTGTCTGTTTAAAAACAACATAAAATAATTTTCCATTCGTAATAAGTTTTTAAACTCCTCCTCTGTCAGAGTGTCATCCTGCCAGCGTGTCTGACCAACACCACATGAGAATAAATCACTAAATGCCTCAAACAGAAACTTAAACATTTGACGTATTTTGTCCCCATTTCTGTCAATATTCAGAATGTTTTATTTCACAAACTCAGCCCCTAAACGAATCTTTAAAAAAAAAAACTCACAGAGCAGATGCTGGAACACGTGGAGCGCTGTCAGATCTCTGCAGATGTTCACCTCTCTGTCAGTCAGATGGATGTCTCAACTCCAGACAGATGTGAAAGGAAAATAAATGGAAAAAAAAAAAACTTTTGGCTGGTTGATGTGAAAATCAACTTTTCAGAGTCATTAAAGTAACAGACAACATCAGCAGCTGAAAGAGGAAAAGAACGGAGGCCTAAAAAGGCAGAAACTACGCGCGTAAAGGGATTTCCTGCACTTTAAGCCACTCCTTTATTTCCAGGTTGCCAAAACCTCACATGCTGCTTTGTTACTTCACTATGATTCAACTGTTTTGGACAATGGCAGCACTTATTTTACCTTTTACTGATCTACATTATGTTGATTTATATTATTAATTAAGTCAGGCAGCTACAAGTATAAAAAATGTGCTACTTTTACAAATTACTATTTTTTCCTCCTCTGAGCTCCATTTTGACTCACAGCATTGCCATCTGGTGGGTACAACTAAATTCTGAACATCTCAGCAGCACTAAGATGTTAGACAGAAACAGGCCAGCTTAACGTTACTTCTTATAAGGCCTCATGGAAGGAGAACGGGACATTCTCAAAGTCATTATTGGCTGCACGTCTACAACTAATTAACTTCTGGAATCAACTTGAGTTAAGATGGCCACCAGTTTAAAAAACCTTATCAAACACAGAAATGGCTGCACCTCCGTCAGTTAACAGATATTGAGCTAAGATTTGGTGTGGTAGTAGCTGAGATTTATCCTAAATACATACACCGAGTGCTGATTGTGCAAGATTTGTGTTTAAATCTTTCACAAGTGAGTTGGCAGGTGATGTCACCTCTTCAAGGAAAAACACTTAATTGATGTCAAATGTCCAGACAAGTTCAATTCGATTCAATTTATTTATATAGCACCAAGTCACAACAGAAGTCCTCTCAGGGCACTGAAATGTAAAATTCTAAACACAATGAATTCAAATTGTCTGTACAAAAACAACTTTATAAAACGGAGCAGTTTGTAAGATGAATTTTAAACACAGAAAAGTGTTTTATTTATTTTTTTCTCATCTGAGAAGCTAGAACCTGAGGATAATTTACTTCTTACTTTAAAATACAAATTACCTACTGGTATTTGTTTCACATTCAGAAACAGAGAAAAACAAATCAGATATGTAAACCTTTATTTTTATTTTAGATGAAAAAATAAAAAAACAATGTCTACAACCTGTGGAGTAATGAAAAATATGTACAGTGGAGTATAAACTGGTTGAGCTGCAAAACGTCACTTTCCTTTGTCAACCCACGTGAAGAAATTACATCGAGCCTCGGGGTTGGAGGCATGTCCCTGAGGACGGCAGCACACAAAGAACTGTTTGCCCACATTCGGTCCCTCTTTTTTCACCGTACGGAGCACACAGGGTTCTCTGTGGACCTTACAGGATGGGGGTGGGGGTGGACCATGAAGCACAGACTTCCAAAATCCCAGTGATGCTGTTTTCCTTACATCCGACTGTCCCACAGTGGGCTGAGAGGTTGAATTATTTGTCTTCACTGGTTGGCCAGTTTCCACTGTGGCGCTGCTGGAGCACAGCTGGGCTGAACCATCAAAACCAGTTGTGGATGCCTTCTCACATGGTTTATTATTTGTGGGTTTAGGCTTGAAAAATGAAAGAAGGTTGCCTTGTGGCTTTACAGAGGTATTTGCTGTTTTGCTCTTTTTCCCCTTTGGGACAGCAGAGTCTGAAATTAATGACCGTTTCTTACCAGAGATTTTATCAACTCGAACTGGGTTTAAGTTCTCCCTTCTTTCCTCCTCTTCTTGAGAACCAGGTAAGACACACTTCTGCTCAAGCTGAGTTTGTTTTTGGTCCACCTTAACAAGGAAGAGCGAGAGTTTCTGTTGCTTGCCGACAAACTCCGGCAGATAGCGAGTGCAGAGGGGAGGGGGCTTGGAGCTGGGAAGGAGAGGGCAGTTCAGTTGTGCCCAAACAGGACAGTGGTCGGACCCCTCCACCTCCGGCATGATGTCTGCTGCCACAAACTGCTCTACAACGAGCCGACAATCCGCAAATATATAGTCGATGCGTGTGCCGTAGTTAGTCTGCCGGGCTCCAGTGAGAGTGGACCAACACGTGAAGGCATTTGTACGAGTTGGGTGGAAATAGCGAAAGGTATCAATAAATTTCCCTTGCCGGACAGGATCCTTTACCTCTGATTCTGTTTCAGGACCAGCTTCATCACGGTTCTCTTCTTGGTTGCTGCTGTGCAAAAAGGCATTTAGCCATTTTCTCCCCGGGTTTTCAGCAAAGTCATCCTGAGTGACAAGGAAAGGTACACAAATTCTTAGAATAGGCATGCAAAAACATGCAGAATCTGATGCTTTGAACGACAAATTGCAGCAAAACCTGAATATATTTGCTCAAACTATGCAACTTACTCTCAGCCTTAACGTTGCAAACAATCTCATGCACACCATTCAACTGGTTCACTGGTAGTGTTTTCTAAATTAACTCAAAGTAAAACATATCGCTTGGTACTTCTGAGTTTCTGGAGCACTCTGGACATATATAACAATTGGTCAAATAATGTATTTTCACAAAAATATCGAGTGAATATATTTTCTGCAAGAAAGATGGTGTGAGTCTATTTAGAAATCTTTATCTTTTTGGCATTTTCCTAAAGACTTGTTCCATGAAGCTGATGTGGAAATTCTTTAACTCTTCTACGTGTTTATGCTAATCATCATTTATCATGTACAGATAAAATTAGGATTAAATTTAAAGAGTATTAATTAAAGATAATTTGAGCACCAATCATGTGAAAGATTTCCAACCTTTTACTTACAATATCAGTGGGATCACAGTGGTCTGTTGGTCGATGAGACGTATTCACATCTCCAAGAATGATCACATGGCTGAAAAATAGGAAAGAGCAGAAAATAAACTCCAGCAATTCTACTTGGAAGAGGCAAGGAAATACTAAAGACTTAAAACAAATGGTCCAAACTTTAGGATTCAGTGTGAATATAAGAAAAAGTAAAATATTTAACATTTTTTACAGTTTCTTTCTTGTAATTGACTATCTTAAAATGAAGCAGGTGCAAAAAATAATCAAAGGGCTCTAAGTTTGGATTTTAAATTTAAGAGTTAGCAGAAGTTTTGTGCTGCTGCTAAAGCTACAGTGCAGTTGTTATATACAACCAAAAACCTGTTAAAAGCTGCCCTGTTTATTATGAGAACATGAAACACATGTGATAAAAGCAGGAAACATCTGTGCTTCATTTTTTTTTTTAAATCTTACACTCTCACCTCCCGTCTTTTAGCAAAGCTTCAGCTCGTCTCTGAAGCAGCTTGTAGAACTGTAGCTTGAACTGCTTTCGCTTTGGTTTTTCAGGGTCAGCTCGAGGACAGTATACATTAATTAAAGTAACAGTCCGCTCTTTGTTCTCACACCTGTTGAGGAAAAAGCAGTTTAAAAATGATTGATTGATTGATTGATTGATTGATTGATTTTATTGTCAATTCTGCATATGTACAGGACATACATAGAAACTGAAATTGCGTTACACTCCTACTCAAGTTGCAGCAAACAACAACATTAGCAAAAATAAACTAACACAACTAGTTATATAAAAAATATAAAAGTGAACAGCAGCAGGACCTCTGATGCAACGTGCTCAATAGTGACTAAA